CCTTATTCCCTTATTCCCACCACTCTTCCTGCTGCAGGAGGTTTAGACAGGGTTAACTGTCAGTGGTGGAACTGGATAAGAAACAGCTCCTCTGCTTCACACATGCAACCTGCTTATTCTACATGATATTCCTCTCTTTCTGCAGAGGCAGCTGTAGATTAGGCTCTTATTTGTGGGTTATGGTGAGATCAAGGTGTTTATCTTTCCTTACTCATTGCTGGGCTTCCTGTCTAGCTTTTGGTGAGGATCTGAAAGGTGATGAGAGATATAAGGAGGTACCGGGACATGCTATTAACAGGTCTGCAGCCATTGCATCTCTAGCTTTTATTAGAAGCCTGTCTTTTAAAAATGTCACGCATTATACTTACAGTAATTCACCTTTGTTCTTGTGATGTTGTACATTATAGTGAAATCAGCATGAAATCATTTTTCATCAGGTAACCTCCTGTCTTAAGAAATCACTTTCTCCAAAGATCTTATATAGGGGTCAGCAATATTTTTGGCCAGAGTGCCAGAAACACCATAACCATTGGATGTTGGCTTGCCAGGGGAGTGTGGCAAGGGAGCTGCAAGGGGCCCAATTCCTGTAGTGGCAGTGTAGCCACAGCCCCTTCCCAACCATCCTTCTGCAGGTGCACATGCACCTGCCACCAGCAGTGAACCAAGATGGGGCTCCATAGACCTCAGTGCAGCAGTTTGCAGCCTCCCTGCCACTGGCTGCAAGCAGTTTGGGCTGTGATGGATATCAACGGCCTGCTCAGAGCCTGGACTGACTGTGGCAGGTGGCTGAGAGGTGCAAGCCACTGCACCAAGGTTTGCAGAGCCCTGGTCTGGCTTATTGCTGGCAGCAGGTACATGTACGTCTTGGGGCAGATGGTGGGGAGGGGACCAGGGCTGCACTGCCAAAAGGACTGGGCTCTTCACAGCTCCCCTGCTATCCCAGGCTCTGGGCAGGCTCCTGCCACCTGCCATAGAGCCTGTTCTGCTCACAGCAGGCAGTGGGGAGGCTGCAAGCCACTGCACCAAGCTCTGCAGAGCCCCGGCCCGACTCATTTATTGTGGTGGGTGCACACGCGCCTCCAAGCAAATGGCAGGGGAGCTGTGAGGCGTCCAATCCTTGTTGTGGTGATGCAGCCCTGGCCCTTTCCCTGTCATCTGCCCCAAGGTGCATTTAACAATCAAAATGCTTTTGTGTGCCACACTGTGCCATGCATGCCAGGGGTTGCCAACCCCTGACCTGATACAGTTTTGTTTGGCTTTTCCTTAAAGATTGGTTCTTGCTAGTCTCCTTGGTATAGAAGTATAGTAATATGTGAATGTTTGTCCTAGTATAAATGAAAATTAATTTCCAACACTTTCACAGGAAAGTTCTTCTTTCCTCATTCAATTAAATAGAGTTGCTTAACTTAGTCGTACTACCCCATGTCATCTACTACTGTTTGCAGTGGTTTCCAGCACCCTTAGTCCTGATTAAAGCATGTCTTGGTTTTGTCCCACATTTCTCTGCTTCCTGTGCCCATGGATGGAAGGGAGATCTTCTATTTCTGCCATACCTGAATTCCTCAGGGGTGGAAGTCTCCAGTCTTGCACTATCCATTGCTCACATTTGTGTATACCAACTATTTTGCCCATGTTTTAAACTCTCTGTATACAGTATGATGAAGTTCTGCTTTGTAACTCACTGCCTTGCCCATTCCAAATTGCAGTGCTCCTCTAAAACTTGTGACTACAAAGTTCATGTGGGCCTAGTGTTGAGGTGTATTGAAATACTATGCAAAATCTTCCTTCAACTCAAATATACCCCTGCCTCAAGTTAAAGCTGTCCTCCTAACGAGCTTCTCTGCACCCACCAGAATGATCCTACATCTTTTTTCCATTTTGTATGCAGGCCAGAACCTTTATGTTGTGTTTCCTCTGTGCTTTTGTGCAGAGTTGACTGGATGGGATTCTGGTTAAAGCCTACCAGCACAAATCCTTTGAGTGGAGGGGATGCTGTAAGTCACTCCTGTTCCTCCACAAGACACCTGGGTAGGGAATTCTTTGATCAGTACCCCAGCCTAACATTGTGCATTTGGCAGTGGAATCTGATTGCTGAGCTATACTAATGCTGATGAAAACAACAATTGTATCCTACTTCCAAAACTAGGTTCACAACTTCTTCTTGTCCACGGTATTGTGGTACAGCTCTGCCAACAGGAGCTTGACTCCCTGTCCTTTTAATTATGAGCAACTCTTGCTCACAGACAAACATCTGTATTACTCCCCAGTGCATGCTATAACACTTATGGTACCACATCAGCTTGATTAATAGACATTTCTATATTCAGGTTGGTGCATGAGCCAAATCAGGAGATTTTCAGGCTTTGACACAAGTTTATACATGTCAAGCCTGATTAATAATTGTTTGTGTTACAGGAAGTGTCAAAAGGTCCTAAATGAGGTTAGAGGACCCCAATGTGTTAAACCAGTCCCTGCCTCCAAAAGCTATAAACAGATGAGTTAGCAAAGATGAATGGAGGTGTAGAGTCTCAACCAAAGTCACACAGCAGGACACTGAATAGCAGAGCCAAGAATAGAATCTGCATCTCCTGAGTCCCAAATCAGTGGCCTACTCACAGGACCATGTTCCTTCTCCAACTATTGATGTCTTCCAACCACAGTAAATATTTATTATTTTGTAAAATGTTTCACTGCCCAGGGGATCATTTATCTTCGCATAACTTCAGTATTAGTTATAGGAAATCACTGCATTAGTTAGAAAGCAGATTAACAAAAATAAATTGAAGAATATATTGAACATATGGTGCTGCATATGAATGAGTTTAAATACTTATGCTGTTTATAACACACAAGAAAAGAAAAGATTTGTTTTAGGAATGCTTTAGTTATGATCTGTAGTATTTTGAAACCTAAAATAACCCTAGTTCAATCACAAGAAACCTGCACAAAGTTTGAAACTGTAGAATTCAGTGCATGTTGTCAGCCAGCTGATGGCCTGATTAGAGTGGATTTACTTAACTAGTAGGGGTTCTCCTGCTCCTCCCATCCAGGCTAGAGCTCAAGCTGTATGCGTGTTACTGCAGTGGAGGAAGAGACTTTACCTGAACTCACTGGGCCTAAATTCTGCTCCCACTTATGTTGCTCTAACTCCTGAATAGTTCCATAAGCCTGTAGAGTAACTTTGCATTTACACTTCATAGCTCAGAGCAGAATTTGACACAATGAGAGCTTTGCTGTTGATTTTAAATGGATCAGGATTGGGCCTCAAGGCAATTCTGATATAAAGGCAGCAATTCTATCAAGTAAAACACAAGAGAGTGCTTCTCTGAGTAAACTAGTAGGAACAATTCTGGGTTTGTCTGAGCTGCAAATTGTCCTTTGAGAATAAGAATAAATGGAAGTTGTTTTACTAAAATCCTCCAGTGTACTGAACCTGCCATGCTTTTGGATGAATGGTTAGGACATAACATCTTTCTTTTTAGGCCTTTATTTAAAGGCTATTTACATTTATTGAACAAAATAATTTTTCCTGTCAAGTCTCACTGTGCTTAAAACCTGCACAATCTGAAGAATCTGCAGAATTCTGCTGTGTCACTTAAAGGGGCGAAGATGCATAAGTTTTTCCTCTACGCAGAGATGGAGAAAGCCATTAAGGAAGTAGGAGAGGGAAGTAGTCTAATTTACTTTAAGAGGGAGCTGGACTACAAGGCATCAGAAAATGGATACAGGGATTAATATCTGTTTCTTCTGGGGGTTTACAGCTATGTCCTGGAATGCTTGTCAGATCAGTCCAACTGGTAGCCTGAGAGCTGCATGTGGGCCCCAGCTGCCCCCTGTCCACTGCCATGTAGTAGGGTTCCACATGCTGCCTGTGCAGGCTGCATGGCAGGGGACGCGGGTCACACTGAAGTTCCCCTGGCCACACTGAAGTCAAACAGCCCTATTATAAACTATTGCAAAAATGAAGCAACACAGATTTTGCATTCAGTCTACTCCCTATAGTTACTCAACCTGATAGCTGTTTTGTCTGGTAATGGAGATTATTACTCCTCTATGAAATGTGCAAGTTTTAACCTACCAAAGCCAAACGTACACCTCATGTGAGTGATGTCATTATAGCAGTTTGAATTTTGCCCTAAAATAGAATTTTCATCGAGAGAGAACTTGTGACATTATGAATGTCTTCTACTCTTTCTTTCATTGGGATGCCTGAAGGTATTGAAAATCAAAACATTGGTTACTGTGTCATTACAGGATCCTGCATTTCATAAGCAATTTTCCTATAAATGAAACTAAAAATACACAAAGCAGTAAGGTTTCTAAATCCAAGTTATAAAATAAATTCAGTACACAAGGGAGACAATTATTGTGATGCTGGCCTTTAATCAAGTTCCCTAGTGTACAGGTCAGCATGGGTTAGATCTACTCTGTTATGCAGTATTGCTTACACATATGGGCTAGGGACAGACATTACTCATGAACTGTTTTAAGTTATCAGAAACTGGTTTAAACCTGTAACAGAACATCAATTCAGTGCACATAAACCACTTTCAAAATTGCTGAAACTGGTTTAAGATAAATTTGGTTGAATGTAGCATCAGACTTAACTGATTTGGGTCAAACCAGTTTATTCAGTATCTTTCCAAGACAGGGTTCTCCAGTGTTTCATTTCCAGCATGAGTAATATTCTTGGATTTTTTTCATCTCTTTCAAATATAAATCACTGCCTTTGTAAAAAAAAAAGAAAAAAAAAAGCAGTTTTCACCAGAAATTGTGTGTGGGAAAGGGAAAATTCTACCCTTTGTGACCTTTTAAATAATGCACTTGCATTTTAAACAGCCATGTCACAGAAAAAGCTAATAGAAAACATTCTGATTTTCTTTTTTATTAGTTAAAAGAATATAATCTTTTCCCCAGTATCAGTTTTATGCTGATGGTCCTTTCGAATTTTGGTGACATGTGTCTTATCAGTAAATGGCCATCGCCTGTTTCTTTTTCAGAGTTCCCTGAAGAGAAGAGGCAGCAGGGAAACGCACAAAGAAAAGAAGGCATTCACCCAGGTACCATTTTCAATAACACATACTTGGTTATGTTTCGAATCGTGTGTCTATTTAATAGGAAACTCAAGATCTCTGTTTATTGGGTGTTAAAGGACTCATAAAAAAATGTCAGATAAAACTTGATTAGCCTTAAATCTACTGAGACATTTCAGATAATTTAGAAACAAATTAGGACACAAATTTGATCTCTACGCCTTGCAGCTGCTCAGTTTTATTCTTATATCTGGTATTTGTGGACTCAGGCTGAAGGTTTTTGTCAAGACAAGAAAATCACCTTGCCTCATAAAGTAACTGGATCATATCTTAGGGACTAACAAAATTTTTATGTGGTGCTAAAGTTTGTATTAATGAGCATTTCGGCACTGAATGCTGTTCACATGCTGAAACAACACTTAGTGTGTTGTGTCAGAGCCTTAGGTTTTGTTTCTCATGTGAACTTAAAATATCTGCTTCCTCTACTGCAATTAAAATAAAAACTCTGAGCTACCCACCCGCCCTGTTAGGATTCTGATTGTACTAAATTCTTACAATCTGAGTTTCCCCTGGAAAGCAGTCGGCCTGGGTTCAGCTCCTTTTTGTGAAGACTGCAGTGGCTGGTGCTTTTTCAGCCCCCATTCCATTCACTAGGTAATAGATCAGAGATGAGGGGTAGGCTTCTCTCACTGAGGGATAGAAGGGAACCCAATAGGAGCATCACAGCTTTGTTGGAAAGGAGCTTTTTTTGGGTTCTCCTCAGCCACCATCTATAACTTGAGCCTAATCAAATGATTCTAGCATGTAATGCTTCTTAGTTTTCTTTAACTGGCTGGAGCCTTAAAATCTATCACTTTTTTAATCATTTTAATATATAGCTCTTAATTAACAACCAAAAGTTGAATGGGTAGGATGGGTGAATAGAAATATATTATTCCAGATGTAATATCTTGCAAAGGACACAAACATAGGAGTGCAATGGAAGCCATCTTTCAAGAGGTTACACTGTTCTTTCTTCCATAACTACCAGATAATGAGGAGGCTTATTTAAATCATCAGCTATTTGGGGCAGGCTTTCTGTAAAGCACGCAGCACACTATAGGGTGAATATCAGGGTGGGCAATTATTTTGGCTGGAGGGCTGCTTAATGAGCTTTGGTGAGCTGTTGAGGGCCACAAGGTGCCCTGCCCCCTGGTTGCCATCTTGGGACCAGAAGTCCCGCTCCCTAATCCCTGACTTTTGCCACTGGAAGTCCCTCCCCTTGCCCCCAGAACTACTTATTTTGGGAAGGGGTTGGCACCTTGGAACCAGAAAAAAAACATATACTAAAAATTGAAAATTGATAGTAACATATTTTAATTTTATTTTAAAAAATATTTTTATTCTGATTTGTGTGTTTGCGTTGCATATATAGAGGTGATTACATAACACCTGAAAATGAAATATTACTCTTGTATATTGTGGGGGTATGGAGGGGTGGGGGGAT